GGGCAGCGGCCCTTGCCGGGCGCCACTCGGCCCGACCCCGCCTGCGCGCTGGGGCCGCCATCTTCGGTCACCATAGTGACGGCTCCCGGGGACGCCAGTACTCTCGGGCCTCTCCTCCTGTGCTCCGCCGTCCTTCCCGCCAGCTCTTCTCCCGCCAGTCCCTCCATGTGCTCCCGAGGGGCTCTGAATCCGCCTCTGCCTTGATCCTGCCTGACAGGGTGCGCCCGGCAAGCATGGCCGGGGAGGGAGACCCGAGGAAGCACTTTATCTCAGCCACGGCTGCGAACTACTTCGGGCTGGATCCGGCGGGCTGTGCTGCCCTGGCGGCGGGGCTCCACTCCCGTCCGGAGCTGAGCAGCTTCCTCGACGACGGCAACGAGTTCCTGCTCGTGGTACAGCACTCGGGCGCGCAGCTCACCACCTCCAATAAGGTACCGTAGTGTCCGGCATGGCCGGGTCCCGCGTGTCCACCGCATCCCGGCGTGCGATTGGGAACGCAGAGCCCGCAGTCATCCCAGGCTTACTGTCCGTAAAGACTGGTATCAGATTTGGGAGACGTCTCCCTACTGCGAATATCTGTGCAGGTCTCTGTGTCTGCAAGTTACTGGCGGCTGCCGTGTTTTAACCCCGGTCGGCTGCTAAGTACCACTGAGCGGCCCCCACCCCGCGGTGGGGAGGAGAATCGGAAAGAAAAGGTTAAACCCCTTTTGGGGGTTGAGATAAGAACAACGAAGTAAAATATAATAACAGCAATATAATAATAACCCACTACTAATATGCTAGTAGTAGTGTTAATAATTGTAATGAAAAGGGGTGAAAGAGCCCAAGTAGAATAAGCGATGCAAAAATATAGTTGTTCACCACCCATGTCCAGCCCATTCCCCAGCAGTGATTGGTGCCTCCTGGCCAACTCCCCTCAGTCTATATACTAAGCATGACACTGTGGTATGGAATATTCCTCTGGTCAGTTCGGTTCAGCTGTCCTGGCCATGCTCCTTCCCAGCTTCCTGTGCACCTCCTTACTGGCAGTGCACGAGGGACTAAAAATTCCTTGACTTTGGATAATCATTGCTCAGCAGCAACCAACATATCAGTGTGTTATTCTCATTCTAAAACCAAAATACAGCACTGCCCCAGGTACTAAGAAGAAAATTAACTTTATCCCAGCTAAAACCAAGACT